CACTTCTCTTCTATCTCACTGATCAAGTCACTGAGATGGCAAATCTCCTCAGACAGTTTGGTGACATTTTCATCCTGTATCTTCACAATTTCCTTGTCCAACTCTTCCAGCTGGGCCAGCAGGAGTCGCTCTTGTTCCTCCAGGAACTGCCGCACTTGCTCAAATTCAGACACAATCTTCTGCCTCTCAGCTACTATCTTTCCCTGTAATGAAGAGAAACAGGAAAAGGACAGGTCAGGGACTAGGGTTGCCAGATGTCCAGTTTTCGACCAGAAAGTGCAGTCGAAAAGGGAACCTGGCAGTGTCCAGTCACTGCTGCCTGGACACTAGAAGTCTGATTACCCAGAGTAACTGGCTTCCAACACCAGGTGGTGGGAAGAGCAGCAGCTGCTGCTGGGAGCCTGGAGGAGCACTCAGGGATGGCTCTGGGGCGGGGGAGAGAAGTACGGGCAGCTCCCCCGTCCTGCTCCAATCACCCATCAACCCCCGGAGTGTGGCTTTCCCTCCCCCGCCCTTCCCTAGTCACCTCCACACCCCTAGAGCCCTGCTCAGCTGGCAGGGGGAGGGAGGTGGAGAGAGCAGCAAGCGACAGTGAGAGGGGAAAGAGGAGTGGGGGGCGAGGCCTCGAGGGAAAGAGGCGGAGCATGGGACAGGGCAGGTTCCAGCGCTCAGCATCCAGTTTTCACAAATGAGAAAGTTGGACAGCCTATCAGGGACATGGGGCGAGTCTGGGAACAGTTCTTCGAGCCCTCTTTTCATTTCACCCTACTACGAACATACGGAATAGATTTCAGGAGAACATGCCTGATATTCATTCAGGCCAGGTGAGAGTCTGACATGTTCTAAAGTGCCTTGGTGACTTAGGAGTCCAATTCCCATTTTCAAAGTTACTTTTTTGTGCTTAGGCGCCTAAGTTTCTTTGAAAGTGACTTTTGAAAATAGAACTTAGGGTAAATTTTCAGAAACAGCAAAATCATGTAGTAGCTGAAACCCATTAAAAATGAATAAGGAGCTGCTTTTAAAAGATATTTATATGTCTAAAGAGGCATATAAGCCCTGAGAGGTATTTTCAGTATCACTTAGGTGCCTAAGTCTCCTAGACTACAGAGGATATTAGGTGCTACTTAGTTGCTTTTGGAAATCTCACTAGGCCTCTGTGCATTTTAAGCCCCTAAATACCTTTGAGAATCTGGCCCTTAACCACTTGTAAAATTGTAAACCTTAGGGTCCAAAATCACTGAGGCACTTTTGAAAATGTCACCCAATATCTCGAAAATGATGAGTCTTCAGGTCTGAGTGGCTTAGTATATTTTGCTGATCATCTAGACATAGGCGGCGAGTTATATTCTTTTGTGGTGCCCAGGCTCCAGGAATATTCAGGGCCAGGGGCCCTGCTCCACCAATATTTGGAGCTGGGTCTCTTCCCCGACCCTGCCTGGAGTGGTTCCCAGCCCCCGCCTGCCACCCCTTCGCCCGCGCGTCTCCCCCACTCCTCCGCCGCGTCCCTGCCTGAAAGAAAGCAGTGCGCGCCTCTCCTGTGCCTGTTTGTGCTGCCAGTATAGCACATTCCTACGCAGGTATCCTACACTACACCAGCTCCTGGCATCAACTGCTCTCTGCTGCCCCAGGGTCCTAGTGCCCCCCAGCCGCTAATGGCAAGGCAGGCTGCCCTTACCCTGCCCTTCCGCCCTAGCCCTGAGCCTCTCCAATGCCCCAAACCCCCCAGCCCCAGCCAGAGCCTCATCCCCCCTCACCCATATCCTCTGCCCCAGCCCTGAGCCCCCTCCCACACCCCAAACCCCTCATCCTCAGCCCCACAGCCCTTACCCT